ACAGTGTGATGATTTGACACACCTATACATTATGTAATGATTATCACAATCAAATTATAACATATCTATCACCACTCATGCTTTATTCTAGATTCCCAGAACTTGTTCATCTTAAAACTGAAAATTTATGCCCTTTGATTAACACCTTCCCATTTCCCTGACTTTCTAGCCTCTGCAACCACTGCTCTATTCAGCATCTATGAGTTTGACCTTTTAAGATTTTACATATGAGTGAGATCATGCAATATTTTTCTTTCTGTGTCTGACTTATTTCACTGCTAATGTCTTCTAGGTTCATTCATGTTGTTACAAATGGCAGTATTTCCTTCTTGTTTATGGCTGAATAATAGATATATATTATTATATTATATATTATATATTTGATATATATATATATATACACACACACACCACATTTTTAATATTCATTCATTCACCGATAAACAGTCAGGTTTATTCCATATTTTGGCTATTTTGAGTAATGCTGTAATGAACATGGGAATGCAGATACTCCTTCAAGATACTGATTTCATTTCCTTTGAATATATACCTTGAAATGGGATTGCTGTATTGTATGGTAGTTCAATTTTTAATTTTTTGAAGAATCTCCATACTGTTTTCCATAATGGCTGTACCAAGTTACTTTCCCAGCAACAGTGTACAAAAGTTCCCTTTTCTTTACATACTTGGTAACACTTGTTACCTCTTGTCTTTTTGATAATAGCCATCCCTTCAGCTGTGAGGTGATATCTCATTGTGATTTTGATTTGTATTTCTTTATGATTAGTGATATTGTGCACCTTTTCATACACTATACCTGTTGGCCATTTTTATATCTTCTTTGGAAAATACCAATTCAGGTCCTTTGCTATTTTTTATTGAGTTGTTTGGGTTTTTTTCCTATTGCATGGTGTGAGTTCCTTTCATGTTTTGGGTATTAACTCTTTATCAGTTATGTGGTTTGCAGATATTGTCTCTCATCCCATAGGTTGTCTTTTCATTTTGTTGTCTCCTTTGCCATGCAGAAATTTTTTAGTTTGATGTAATTCTACTTGTTTATTTTTGCTTTAGTTGCCTATGCTTTTAGAGTCATATAAAAAAAAATTGCCAATACCCATGTCAAGGACCCATGTCTGTTTTCCCTATGTCATCTTCTGGGAGGTTCACGGATTCAGAGTTTATGTTTAAGTCTTTAATGCATTTGAATTAATTTTTGAATATGGTGTAAAACAATGGTCCAATTTCATTTTTTTTTTTTTTTTGCATGTGGATATTCAATTTTCCCAACGCTATTTATTGAAGACACATTCCTTTTGTCATTGTGTATTCTTGGTGCCCTTGTCAAAGATCAGTTGACTCTGTATGTGTGAACTTATTTCTCGGCTCTACTCTGTTCTTTTAGTCTATGTGACTGTTTGTATTATGCCAGTACCATGCTGTTTTGATTACTATATCTTTGTAATATAGTTTGCAATCAGGGGAATGTGATGCTTCCTGCTTTGTTCTTCTTTCTCCAGGTTGCTTTGGCTATTCAGGGTCTTTTGTGGTTTCTTATAAATTTTAGGATTATATTTTCTTTTCCTATGAAAAATGTCATGGGATTTTTGATAGGGATTGCATCACCTCCTTGCTTAAATTTATCCAATGTGAAATAGATCTTTCACCTCCTTGGTTAAATTTAATCCTAAGTATTTTATTCTTTCTGATTCTATTGTAAATGGGATTGACTTCTTTTTCACATAGTTTGTTGTTAGAGTGTAGAAACACAACTGATTTTTGTATGTTCATTTTGTATCCACAGTTTTACTAAATTCGTTCATCAATTCCAACAGTTTTTGGTGGAGTCTTTAGGGTTTTATTTGTAGAAGATCATGTCATGTGCAAACAGATACTTTAACTTATTCCTTTCTGATTTAGATGCTTTTCATTTCATTCTCTTGCCTAACTTCTGGCTAGGACGTCCAGTGTTAAGTTGAATAGAAGTGGTGAGAGTGGGCATCCTTACCTTTTTACTGATCTTAGAGGAAGCTTTCAGCTTTTCACCATTGAATATAATGTTAGCTCTGGTCTTGTCATATATGGGTTTTGTGTGTCTATGTTGAGGCTCATTTCTTATATACCTAATTTGTTGAGAGTTTTTATCCTGAAAGGATGTTGAATTTTGCTGAATGCCTTTTATTAATCTGTTGGGATGAACATATGGTTTTTGTTGTTCATTCCATTAATGTCATTTATAGATTTGGATATATTGAGCCACCCTTGCATCCCAGGTATGAATCCCTAGTGATCATGTTGAATGATCTTTTTAATGTGCTATTTAATTTGGTTTGCCAGTATTTTGTTGAGGATATTTGCATCTATGTTCATCAAGAATATTGGCCTGCAATTTTCTTTTCTTGTAGTGTCCTTGTCTGGCTTTGTTACTAGAGTAGTACTGGCCTTGTAAAATGAATTTGGAAGTGTTCCCTCCTCTTTAATTTTTGGGAAGAGTTTGAGAAGAATTGGTATTAGTTCTTTAAAAGTTTGGTAAAAATTAGCAGTGAACCATCAGGTCCTGGGCTGTTCTTTGATGGGATACTTTTATTACTGATTCAATCCCCTTGTTGGTCAGTTCATATTTTCATGTTTTCTACTTTTTCATAGTTTAGTCTTGGTAGGATGTATGCATCTAGGAATTTATCCACTTCTTCTAGGTTACCCAATTTGTTGCCATATAGCTGTTCACTTCTCTTCACACTGTTCTTCTCTTTTGAGGTAGTCTCTTATCAACCTTTGTATTTCTGTGATGTCAGTTGTAATATCTCCTCTTTCATTTCTGATATGTATATATATATATATATATATTTTTTTTTTTTTTTTTTGAGACAGAGTCTTGCTCTGTACCCAGGCTGAAGTGCAATGGCATGATCTCAGCTCACTGCAATCTCCACCTCCCGAGTTCAAGTGATTCTCATGCCTCAGCCTCTCAAGTAGCCTCTGAAGGGATTACAGGCATGCACCATCACGCCCAGCTAATTTTTATATTTTTTGTGGAAACGGGGTTTCGCCATGTTGACCAGGCTGATCTTGAACTCGTGGCCTCAAGCTATATGCCCGCCTCAGCCTCCCTAAGTTCTGGGTTTACAGGCATGAGCCACCACACCGGGCCTACTTCTGATTTTATTTATCTGAGTCATCTGTCTTTTTTACTTTGTTGGTCTTGTTAAAGTTTTGTTGAATTTTTAAAAATCTTTTCATAAAATCCACTCTACTGTGGATTTTTCTATTGTTTTTCTCATCTCTATTTCAGTTATTTCTGATCTGGTCTTTATTATTTCATTCCCTCTACTAACTTTGGGCTTAGTTTGTTTTTATTTTTCTAGTTCCTTGATGTATAACATTAGGTGGTTTATTTGGAATCTTCTTCTCTTTTGATGTAGACATTAATTACTATAAACTTCTCCCTTAGAACTGATTTTGCCACAACTCATGAGTTTTGGTATGTTTCCATTTTGGTGTATTTCCATTTCTATTTGTCTCAAGGTATTTTAAAATTTCCCTTTTAATTTATTTACTGACTCATTGGTTGTTTAGGACAATGTTGTTTAATTTCCATATTTTTATAAAATTTCTGAAATTCCTTCTACTATTGATTTCTAGTTTTATACTATTGTGGTAAAAAAAATACACTTGATATTATTTTAATGTTGAATTTGTTAGGACTTCTTTTGTTGCCTAACATATGATCTATCCTCCAGAATATGTGCTTGAGAAGAATGTATATTCTGCTGAGGCACAAAGCACAGATATACATGGAAGGACTATGGCTCTGGTATCTGGTGCAGTAATGTACCTGATATCTGGGGTGCTGGCACCCCTGATGTTGTGTTATGGCAATATGTGAGGTGAAAATGCTCGTAAAGTAGCTAGAGGGCCAAGAATGGGAGCACAGATGCACACAAAGTTAGAGAGACTCTGTCGTTAGGGGAAGGTCTAGTTCTCTGTGGCATCTGAGCTGGCACCTTGAGTTGGGTCATGCATAGTGAGGACTTGGTTCTCGAGCCTGGAGTGTGGACTAGCTCATTATGTCAATGGCTGTGGTGTCTGAGTCATCAGTGGGCCCAGTGTAGCCACAGAGCCTGGGTCTGGAGTGTGATCACTCGCAAAGAGGTTATGGCTCTACATTAAGGAATGCTCAGGGTTGGAAGAGGTGGTGGCTCCTTTCCTGAAGCAGCTCAACGGGGTGGCTACTTCTTGTGGAGAAGGAGAGGTATGCAGCTGTGTCTCCCTCTCTGGATTTCCCTAGTAGGAGTGGCTGCGGGTTACCTCAGTGGCAAGGGATACTGGTGTCCTCTGTGGAGCACTCCTCTGGGTACCATGACGGTTCCCTGTGCATGACTGACATGCCACCTTTCTTCTTTGCTCATAGCTGTCTCCTGGTGTCTCAGGTATGCTGTTCTCACCAGAAATCCTTTCTCTGTGGGTAGTCTCCTTTTTTTTCTCCATTGTGCTGCTGCAGAATTTTTATTGGACCATTGAGCCCTTTCTGGTCTATTTTGGTTTGTGAATAGATGTTTGTATTTGTTTTTGTTGGGGGATGAAGGCTGATACCTCCTACTCCACCATCTTGGTCAGTTTTTTTTTTTTTTTAATTTTTGAGACTTTTCTTTAAAGTTCCTCCTAAAGTAAAATATGATATTCTTTTGTTGCATGATTTTATCTACAGATGCCTACTTCATGGAAAAGAAGGAAAAAATAATTATGAGAACAAATACATGTTCACATCTCATCAGTGGGACCTGCCATATATGCCTACTTGTTATGTGTATCTTCTTTCAGACTTGCTCAAACAGACACACTGTGTTCTGCGGTGGACAGGTCTATGCAAACCTACCCCCAAAGTCCAAGGAAGCTGAGAGGCCAAAGAAAGAGGCTGATAAATCCAGTTTCTTAGAAAGAAACATTTAATAGGGACTAACAAACAGAAGCTATTGGAAAATCCAAATCCAGGGCTTACTTACCATAAGGAAAGGGTATACATGATTCAGAAGAAATCTGTAGGAAAATTGAAGTACAATAACATCAAGATTGTTTTGACCTAAGGGCAAGAATTATGGTAAGTATGTGCTCTTACACAAGGAACAACAGATAAACTGGAAATTTTTTGAGGCTTTCCTGGAACTGAGGTTAATCAGAAGTAAATATGGCAGATTAGCATCCAAGATAGAGTAACTTTAGCCTCCACATACTTATTTTCTCAGTTTATATGCTGTAGGGAGCACTAACAGAACCTTCAGATACTATTTGCTGTCACTTTTTAAATCTAAGGTGTCCAAAGTCTTAGAGTTTCCCAGGTGCCATCTAGCCCCAAGTAATGAACATGAAACAGCTTTCCATTTGTCCATACTTAATTTTCCATGTTTCATTTACATTATTACTCATTACATTGTTATACTTGTACATCTGGAACCTAATCTGGAAAATCTTGGTGCGAAAAGGAAGTGATTTCTGGAATTTAGTTTTCATGTGTCCACACTACTACAAAAATCCCTTGGTTGGTTTAGAGATGCATCCCATTTAGAACCTGACCTGATTTTGTGTTATAAGTGCTGGGCATGTGTATCTTTTCCATTCCTTTTATTATTTTTAATTGCACAAGGAAGGTACTTTAAGAGTGTTTTAATGTGCACATATTGATTGTTCCTGGGCCCTGGGCTGAGTGAGACTCTGACTCAACTTATACCCCGAACCCACTGTGTCAGGATTCTTCCCCTCCAGAGACTGTGGTGCTGAGCCCTGGGTGGTTTCATGCAGTCTCTCCCCCTTTCCATCCCTTGTGGAAGTCACTGCTCGGCTAACTAGGTAGCTAAACAGAGGAGCCTACTTTCAATTTAAGGGGATGCATTTGGGAGAATACAGAGAGAGACATTGTGCTCATGCATTTTGCATTGCTATAAAGGAATAATACCTAAGGTGAGGTAATTCATAATGAAAAGAGGTTTATTTGGCTCAGAGTTCTGCAGACTGTACAAGAAACATGGTGCCAGCATCTGTTTCTGGAAGCTTTTACTCATGGTAGAAGGCAAGGGGAGGTGGCATGTCACACGGCAAGAGAGGAAACAATAGAGAAAAGAGGAGGTGCCAGGCTCTTTTTAACAATCAGATCTTATGGTAACGAATGGAGCCAAAACTTACTCATTACCACAAGGATAGCACCAAGCCATTCATGAGGGATCTGCCCGCATGACCTAAACACCTCCCGCCAGGCCCCACCCTCAACATTGGAGATCACATTTCAACTTGAGATTTGGAGGAGACAGATATTCAAACTGTATCACGCGTGTTATGAAACTACTTTCATTTCATTTCATTTTCATTTCATGACCTTCACTGAAATCCTAGGAAGAAGAGACATTGCCTGACAGCAGAATGTAAGGTTCATTTGAGAGGCATGCTTGTCCTTTCCCTGGGCATCTGTAATTTCGCTGAAGCCACTCAGTTGGAGCTGTAATTTCCCTGATGCTGCTCAGCTTTTCCTGAAGCTATCATGTGGATAGATTAATATATTAGTTTTGTGACAACCATATTACCTAGTTCCTTTGGCTCAGGGATGTTCCCCATTCTGATGCTAAGCCATTTTCCTGTGGGAAGGACTGGAGATTTTGTTTTTTTTTGGATTATTTTTCTCACTTCCAAACCCAACATGCTTTTGTTGGAAAATGCACAAAAGGAAAAATATCATTAGAAACCCTAAAAATTCTATTATTCATGAATAAGAACTGTTAACTTTTGAATATTGCTATGGTTTGAATGTCCCTTCCAAAACTCATATTAAAATTTTATTGACATTATAACAGTGTTGAGAGGTGGGGCCTTTAAGAGGTGATTAGGTTATGATAGCTCTGCCCTCATGAATGATTTAATGCCATTATTGTGATAGTAAGCTTCTAATAAAAGAATGACTTCAGCCCGATTTTTTCTGTCTTCTGCACTCACTTCTGCTTCCCACACTTCCGTCATGGGATGACCCTTGGCCAGATGCCAGCACTATGCTGTTGGACTTGCCAGCCTTCAGAACAGCGAGAAATAAATTTCTTTTCTTTATAAATTATCCAGTCTCTGGTATTCTGTTATAGCATCAGAAAATGGACTAAGAGAAATAAACATTTTTCCAGAAGTTTTACTATGCAAATGTAACTATACTTAAAACAAAAATCAGATAATATCCTACTTATAGCTTTATAAACTGCCTTTTTATGAAAAACATCATATTTCGAAGGTCAATCTATATCAATCAATATAAATCCACATAATAACAAAAATGGCCATAGAAGCAGTAATGGTCTATTCAGGTATAATAATAATAATAATAGCTAATGTTTATTGTGATTTCCTCAATGCCTGATACTGTTGCAAGTGCTAAACATATACTTAATCATTTAATCCTCACCATATTATATGATGAGGCACTGTTGTTGTCTGACTTTAAACATAAGGGAACTGAGGCATAGTGAGGATAGGGCTAGCAAGTGCTGAGACTTCAATTTGAACACAGGCTGTGTGGCTCCCAAGCCCTTACATCTAATCAGTATATGCCACTGCCTCTCATATGAGAACACCAACCGTATTATTTATCAGAATAAAGCAAAATATATGAAATTAAGATACTACATTTTTCCCCATTTGACTAAGCAGAGATTTAAAATATTGAAAAAAATGAATGTGATTTGGGATTTGGGGAAATGTGTCCTGGAATACTGTGGAAGGGGCTGACCAGCATCTTGTCTCCCTTCCTGTTTCTCAAAGACGTTCCTATTCTGAAGCGAGGGGCTTTGCTGTAGGTGGAGCAGAGAATGGTTATGTTTCCCAGTGATTTTATTCTTTTGCATATTTATAAGACCAATAGGTGTTTATTACAGTTAAAAAAGTGAAAACATAGGACATAAAATAAAATAACCATTCCTCAAACATAACACCTAAAAATAAGACCTGCTAATGTTTTCATCCGCATTATTTTCTTAGAAGTTTTCTCATGTAGGAATTTATACACTTATGCATGTATGGACGCATTTATATATTTATATGAAAAAGACAAGATCTCATTTTAGTTTTTTAACCTGCCTATGTCAATATAGTGGGTTGGATAATATCCTCCAATAATATATGTCCAAGCCTTAGCCCTTAGTACCTGTGAATGTAATATTATTTGGAAATAGAGTCATTGCAAATATAATTTAGGATCTCAAGATGAGATGATTCTGGATTTAGTGTGGGCCCTAAATCTAATGACTGGTGTCCTTGTAACAGAGAGGATGGGGAGATTTGACATACACAGGAAAGAAGGTCATGTGAAGAAGGAGGCAGAGATTGGAGTTATGCTGCCATAAGCCAGGGAAAGCTATGAGTCACCAGAAGCTGGAAGAGGCAAGAAAAAAATTGTCTTCCCAAGCCTTCATGGGGAGTGTGACCCTGTCAAAACCTTGATATCAGGCTTCTGGTCTCCAAAACTGTAAGAAAATAAATTTCTGCTGTTTAAAGACACAAATTTTGTGGTAATTTGTTGTGGTAACCCTAGGAAACTAGTATACTCACTAACAACATATCTAAAATGTCATTAATTGTAAATAAACACCAGTCTATGTCTTATATTGATGTGGCTGTAAGGATAGTAATATCAGTGACACATTAAAGAAATTTTAAATTGACTAAAATTTCTTGTAACAAGTGATTTTTATATGTATTGAGTCATTCACTGCTCATAGCTCCCTTACGAGATAGATATTGTGGCTAATCTCTGTTTTATAGATGAAAAACTGAGGGACAGAGAGAGTGACTTTGCCCAAGACTACACAGTTAGGGAGTGGGTCAGCTTGGATTTGTGCCCAGTACATGTTGCTCCAGAGCCTGGAAGCTGTCACAAATTTGTTAAGTGAAAGCAGTCTGCACAAGTGAGCGTATTTTAGGAGGTCATTAAAAGTAATACTAAGTGTTTTAATACAGTTACACATTTACGCAAACATTGGACCTAGTGACAAAAGGTGGTTTGTGATCTTGGAGAGCCTGTTCATTGCAATCAAGGGACAGAAGCCATAGTAGGGGGATAAGGAGTCAACAAAGTGAACAATGTTAACAGAGACTGTAGAGAACTGTTTTTGGTACTTTGAATTTGAAGGAGGTAGGAAGAGACAGAGAGAGAATGAATTAAATATCCTATTGCTGAATGAGTAATAAGGGGTTAAGGAGGGATATTTTAGAATCAATTCCTTTAAACTTAAGTACATTCAAAAGTTAATGTAAAGGAGCTCTCTAATCTCAGATGTAACCTTGAAGTTGTCCATATATTTATTTCCCTACTACCATCTCATTTCTATTATGGAGTTAATGAGACACCTCCATTGGAATACTATGGGCTTTGAGTGAAATACAGATTTAGTTATTAGTGATTAAAAGTGGGAAAACTGTGTGAAAGAAGTGCTCATAACTCTTGGACTTTTACCTCTCAGGGAGGCAGCAGGTGGCTGAAATTCTGGCGTGCTGTGACTGGATAATGCATGATCTGAGGACCCCTATACTGATGACTGTGGATGGGGCCACATTTTTTTCTACAAATATATTCATATACTGAGCAGTCAGGAGCAGCCCTTAGGCAAATACCACACCTTGCTTCTCTGGTGTGATTGATATCTGAGCTCACCAGGTGAGTTCAAAAACATGCCCATGTTCCCAGCATTGGGAACTGGGTCTGCTGAAAGGCCTGATGTTGGCCAGCTTTTATGAGATTATGAAGCACCCAAGAATGTAGAGAACGTTCTGTTTCTAAAACTTTGAACTCAAGGCATATCAGAGAGAGATTTGCCTTCGTTATATGGATGTCTGTGTTCTCATTAGGAGAGAAACAATGAAAAATAACTTTTCACAATGCCTGCCTTAGCCTTGAGGCTCAACCAGCCCCCATTTCTGTGTCTCAGCATTTAAAGGGCTATTGAAGTCCCACTCCATGCTATATATTCTCCACAGGTTTTCTCATTAACTCCTCAGGACAGCTCTGTAAGGATGGTATGGTCAGTCCCATTTCACAGATAATCAGGCTCAGACTCACAGAGTCTAAATCACCTAAAGTGGCAGGATTGGAATGAGGTTCCATCTCTCACCCTCCCTAGAGGACCCTGAGCAGCCTCCCTTTTAGAAGATGGGCTTCCGGGACTTGAGAAATGGTCAGAATCCATTGCCCTGCTATTCTGGACCCATGCATCCTCACTCCACAGCCCCTCTGGGTGATGAAGAAGACAGAGAGATGATATCCTGCCCCTTGTGCCGAGAGACCTGGTTGTTGGGCTGCAAGAATTGGCTGATTCCTGAAGTGGTGAGTGGGCTCAGTCAGAAGCTCAGGTGTTGGCTTTGGGACAGGTGAGCTGGACAGAAGGAAAGTAACATGCCCTGAACTACTGAAAGCAAATGCACTCTATATTTCATCTCCTTTAATCTTTTTGTTTTTGTCTGTTTCGGTAGAGACAGTGTCTCGCTATGTTGCCGAGGCTTGCCTTGAATTCCTGACCTCAAGTGATCCTCCCACGTCAGCCTTCCAAAGTGCTGGGATTACAGTCATGTACCACCTCACCTGGCCTCCTTTAATCTTAATTGCTATCCAAGGTACCCAGTATTCAGATGAGGGTGCTGCCGTTAGGGGAGTTTTTTCGAGGAGAAAACTTTATCTCCTGACCAGCCGCTAACTCTGGAATACTCTAAAGTTTTATCATTTTCTCTTGATGCCTCCAGGTCTCTGAATGCTCTAATCTCCCTCCTGGCTGACAGTACGGGCTCCTCAGGTATTTTCCAAAGTTTTTTCTTTTTAAATTATGACATGTATAATTTTTAAGTCTCATTATGGAAATTTAAAATGCTTTCCAAATGAAAAATAAAAACCCAGTAACAATTGTATTAAAACGAGGAAGGAAACACTTTTAAAACTACATCTCAGATATTGGGTTGGTGTCTGTGATTTGTGAAACATAGTTGTTAACAAACTGGCAACAATTTCAACAGATAATTCAAATAAGTATATACGTGAACAATAAATATTAAAAAACAGAGAAACCACAAGAACTAATGAGATGCAAATATTTTAAAATCCTGAGAATTTATAATAAGTGGAAACAACAAGATACAAAAGATGAGGACTGTGATTGCACATTTGGAACAGACAATGTGTGTGTGTGTTGGGGGGAGGGGTGAACGTGTTCATGTGCACCTCACAGGGACACATCTAGAGAGTATGCAGAATCCTGGGGACAGCAGACCCCTTGGAATCAAGGGGTGGGAGTTGGACCAGTGAGAGTGCAGATTAATTTCAATTTATGAATGTATTCATATATTGTTTGAAATTCAGTATTTGGGAATAAAATATTTTGATAAAGATTTGAACACACAAGAAATTTTTGAACTGATTGTCAAAGGTAATATGCACATATTTTCATTAATTTGAAAAAGAATTCATTGTGTTATATGGTGAAAGAAATAAAACATCTAATTGACTGTGTGTGTGTGTCCTCTAGCTCTATCACCCCATATACACACTCACAGATGTAGCATTATCTTTCATTCGGGTGGGCACTGTAACCAATCTGAGTTTTATATATCCTAAAACGTGATGAATACAAGGAGACTGCTATCATTAGGTCAATAATTCAAAAAAACCTCTGGTTGATATAGTGAAGCTAACTTCCAACCTCAATCCCTTTCTCTCCCCTGCTGAGCCTCTGGTCTGACTCTCAATGCTGCGATCCTGTCTTTGGCTACCAGGAGGCATCACAGCTATCTCCATGTCTTTTGTTCTTTTATTTTAGAAAAGGAGTACATTTTGCTAAGAGTAACAAATGTTATGAAGTGATTTGTTTACTATGACACCAGTTCTATTTGGAAAATTCACATATTAAAGCAGGTCCATTTGCTGTTGATTCCAAATCTACATCATGTTCATTCATTTATCTCTTCTCTCCACGATATAGGTTGAGGTGTCCATAAGGTGGATAGGTTCCTCCCAGAGAGCAGGGCATTCACTCTTCATTACTGCACCCCTGTACAGGCTTCCCAGGCCTTCTCCCAACCCCTCTCAGTCATCCTCTCTCCTGGACACTATGAACACAGCTGCCCAGGTCCTATATCAGTGACCCATCCACTCTCAGCCACCTCCTGCCTGCCCTGCACTGACCAATGACGACTGGTGACTGCCAAGATGCACTAGAGCTACCTGGTGTTTCATGGCATGGATTTCCTAGAGGATATGTTTTTACAGTCTTCTTTTTTACCCCTATCATTTTTTTTTTCTTCCCAGTATGGGGAAGTGGATTTGGGTCTGCTCAGAGGCATGACGTTGAACAGCTTTTATGAGATTAGAAAACACCCAAGAATGTAGAGAACATTCTGTCTCTAAAACTTTGAACTCGAGGCATATCAGAGAGAGATTTGCTTTCCTTATATGGATGTCTGTGTTCTCATTAGGAGAGAAACAATGAAAAATGACTTTTCACAATGCCTGCCTTAGCCCTGAGGCTCAGCCAGCCCCCACTTCTGTGTCTCAGCATTTAAAGGGCCATTGAAGTCCCACTCCATGCTATATATTCTCCATAAGTTTTCTCATTAACCCCTCAGGACAGCTCTGTAAGGATGGTATGGTCAGCCCCATTTCACAGAGGCTCACAGAGTCTAAGTCACCTCCCCAGGTAAGTGGCAGGATTGGAATGAGGTTCCATCCTTCACCCTCCCTAGAGGACCCTGGGCAGCTTCCCTTCTAGAAGATGGGCTTCCAGGACTTGACAAATGGCCAAATTCCACTCCCCTGCTATTGTGGCCCCACGGGTCCTCCACTCCACAGCCCCTCTGGGTGATGAAGATGACAGAGGAGGTGAAATCTTGTCCTTTGTACCAAGAGACCTGAGTGTAGGGTCACACGAGTTGGCTGAGGTGGAGAGTGGGCTCAGGCAGAAGCTCAGGTGTTGGCCTTGGGACAGGAGAGCTGGAGGGAAGGAAAGTAATATGCACTAAACTACTGTAAGCCAATACACTTTATATTTTATCTCCTTTAATCTTTTTTCTTTCTTCTTTTTTTGGTAGAGACAAGGTCCTGCTATGTTGCCCAGGCTTGTCTTGAATTCCTGGCCTCAAGAGATCCTCCCTCCATGGCATCCCAAAGCACTGGGATTACAGGCATGAACCACCTCACCTGGCCTCCGTTAATCTTAACTGCTATCTGAGGTACCCATTATTATGACCATTATTCAGATCAGGGTGCTGCCTTTAGGGGAGTTTTTGTGAATCCAGGAGAAAACTTTGTTATCTCCTGACCAGCAGCTAACTCTGGAATACTCTAAAGATTTATCATTTTCTCTTGATGCCTCCAGGTCTCTGAATGCTCTAATCTCCCTCCAGGCTGATAGTACGTGCTCCCCAAGTGTTTTGCAATGTTTTTTCTTTTTCAGTTATGACATGTATAATTATTAAGTCCCATTATGGAAATTTAAAACATTTTCCAAATGAAAGATAAAAACCCAGTAACAATTGAATTAAAACAGGGGGGAAAACATTTTCAAACTACATCTCAGATGTTGGGTTGGTGTCTGTGATTTGTGAAATGTACTCATTAACAAAACAATTGGCAATGATTTCAACAGAAAATTCAAATAAGTATATACATGGACAATAAACATATTAAATATGCAAAAACCACAATAACTAATAAGATGCAAATATTTTAAAATCCTGATAAATGATAATAAGTGGAAATCACAAGATGAGGACTGTGATTGCACTTTTGGAGAAGACAATGTGTGTGTGTATGGGGGGGTGAATGTGTTTATGTGCATCTCACAGGGACATGTCTGAAGAATATGTGCCATCCTAGGGACAGCAGACCCTTTGGGGTCAGGGGGCAGGAGTCAGGTCTGTGAGAGATGCAGGATAAAATTCTTATTTTTGAGTGTAATTTTGCATATTTTAAAAAACTTTATATTAAAGAGAAGAGTATTTTGATAAAAACTTGAGCACAAAACATCTTTATGGAGAGATCAACAAAAGAATTGTATATATGTATTCACTAATTTGTGAAAACAATGTATTTGATTTTATGGTGAAACAAAATAGATAAAAATTGAATTGACTGTATTTCTACGTGTGTGTGTGTGTTTGTGTCTGTTTCTCCTCCAGCTAAATTACTCCAAATACATGCTCACGGGTACAGTTTTACCTTCAATTTAGAGGTTGGTGGTCTAGCACTAATCTTGCTTTTAGATATACAGGAAAATGAAAGACACAGAGAGATTGCTACCATTAGGTGAATAATTCCAGAAAACTTTGGGTGATACTGAAGTCAAGGTCCCAACCTCCATCTGTCCTTCCCAGTTGATGAACCCCCTAGTCTGAAATTCTCAGAGCTGCAATCCTGACTCTGGCCGGAAGTGATATCTAACTCCATTATTATTTTCCTTTTTCTAATGAAAAAGAGTACATTTTTCAAAGAGTGTCAAATGTCTTGGGATGGTTTGTTTACTGTAAGTTTTCTTTGGAAAATTCACATGTATATTAAAAGCAGGTCCATTTGCTGTTGACCCTAAATCCACATGTCATTCATTGATTTATTTCTTCCTTTGTTAGTGCAGGTTGAGGCGTTCATACTGTAGAGGGGTCCCTCCCAGGGTGTAGGGTGTTCACTCTCCATTACCCCACACCTGTACAGGCTTCCCAGACCTCCTCTTAGGCATCCCCTCTCCGGGACGCTATGGACACAGCCGTCCAGACCCCATTCCAGTGCCCCCATTCTCTTCCACTCACCTCCCGCTGTCCTGGTTTGCGCTACACCAGCCTGCTAAGGACTGCCAAGGCTCGCTTGTCATACATGGTGTTTCATTGTATAGATGCCATGGAGTATATGTTTTTGCAGTGTTCTTTTACACCTATCAATTTTTTTCTGGAAGAATTAGAATCATTCTGTCCATAGGTTCACAGACTGGGTTTTAGTGGAGGGTATTTTATTTTTTTGCTCATTGCGTAAACGTTTGTAGAGGTTTGACGATGAAGGTACGTTGGTGCCCCCTCGTGACAGGAGTCTGAACTGCAGCTTTTACATCTGAGCAGGAAGATGGGAAGGAGCGGTTTAGCTCAAGCCCACTCTATGGAGTTTTCTGGAAGTCTGGATGGAAAATGGAGCAATTCCAGGCTAAAGGAATATTGATGGCCTCCAAACAAAGTGCAGCCTCTCACTATGCTGAAGAGAAGGCTTTATGTGGGAGCAAGGAAAAGATTATTTTTATTTGTATGCTTTGAGTCCTCTGAAAAAATAGCTGTAGATGGATATGAGCAAAAATGGATCCTGGCTACTGATGATCTTTGTAACCTGCCTTTGACTTTATTATGACAATTTTCCCATGAAAATACATGTCTACCATAACATTTTAAATTACTTTACAACATAATTTTAGTTTTGATTTTTGCCATCAACTGGATGTTTCATCATATGGATGGTACCACATTTATTTCACTTTGAGATAAAAATGTAGTTCCTTTACCATGTTTTATTATAAACAGTAGCAAACATAACATCCTTGCTCACATATATGCAAATATATTTGTAAGAGTTTCTTTATGAGATTCTCAAAATACTCTTTCATTATGAAATCATACTATAAAGTTATTATATTAACACAATACATGATAACATTATTACTCATATGTATTGACTAATACGGTATGTAAGTGTCTGCTCACACACTGGAAATAATGTTGATTATTGCTAACTGGTTAGGCAAGAAATCATCTCTCATCATTGTTTTCATTATCACTTATTTTTACTGCCTCCTAGAATTCCATCCTATGGATGTGACATAATCAATTTTCACAACCCTGTGTTATTCAGAGTGTCCTGATATTTCCTTTTATCTACACTGGCATGTTTTCAAGGTCTGTGCTCTGCTGGAGGGCACAGTTCCTGTGGCTGTTTGCACTGAGCTGAATACGTCCTCTTGGAACACAGCAAGCTGTCTTAGAAAAATTCTAGTATTGTGATAATAGAACCTGATTAGCACATGAGTGTGGGGGAGTGTGTGTGAATGTGTGCAAGTGTGTGTGTGCTGACAATCACACTTGCCTCTGCTTCCTTCTGCCTCTTTATGGCTTTGCATCCTGTTTGGTCTCCCTTTCTAAATTGAGGTCTAGCAGTGAAGAGAGGGTATTGTTAGGATGGCAGTCCTTATAACCAGACCTTTATCAGCATCCTTCACTACATCCTGAAGTTAAACTTCTAAAAAGGAAATTGTTGGTGCTTAGTGTATGCGCCTATGTAACCCTTTGATAAGTATTGTCGTGCTGACACCCAGAATGTTAGCGCCGTTTAGGCTCCCCAAAGTGCAACAACATGAAAAAGTTTGGAGAGGGGTGAGGAAAGTAATAATGCTGGCATCCTGTCACAGAGGGAAGGCCCGGGACCCTGTTGTGGTCCCACTCTCAAGCCATCACAACATTTGGAAGACATGAAAATGATCAGACCTGAATTAGACTTCAGGTAGCATGTAGGGTGGGGAAAAGGTCATTGGAGGAACACAGGACATAGAGTCAGGGCTGGGATACAGCTACAATTTTATGTACATTCGTGTTTATGTAAGACATGTGCATCAAGGCCTTTTTATGAAAAATTTTGGTCATTCCTGTGGTACAATAGAAGCCTTGGCCAATATTTGTTAAACAAATTTCTTGCAATATTATTTATAGACAATAGAATCCATTCATTTTAAGGTTGGCAATTTTTATTAAATGTATAGAGTTGTACAACCATCACCATAATTGAGTTTTAGAAATTGCAATTGCCCCCAAAACTCCCATTGTGCTTCAATGCAGTTAAACCTGCACCTATCCTCAGCTCTTGGAACCACAGTTATGCTTTGTGTGTCTGTGGATTTGTTCATCCTGGACATTCATATAAATGGAATCATGTAATATTTGATATTTTGCATCTGTCACTTAGCATGATGTTTTTAGGGTTCATGCATATTGTAGCATGTAGCAGAATTCATTCATTTTTTTAAAGGCTGAATAATATTCTATTCTAAGGATATACCACATTTTGTTTATCCATCTCTCTATTGATGGTCATTTAGATGATTTCTGCTTTTTGCCTGTTATGAGTGATGATGTTATATACATTTATGTACAAGTTTTTATGTAGACATAGGTTTTCATTTTTCTTGGCTATGTACCCAGGAGTAGGATTTCTGGGTCATATGGTAACTCTCTGTTTATTCATCTGAGGAACTGCCAGACGACTTTCATAACCCTAACAGTCTTGAGAAGTACAGGCTCAGTCTGTTGCTTCTCTTGTGATTTGACTGTGGTTACAGATTTTTAGAAGGAATACCACTAGTTCCGGTGCCCTTCTTGTCACATCGTATCCGGGAGTATACAATGCCTGCATGATGTCACTGGTGATGTTAATCTTCATCATTTGGTTAAGGATGGTGTTTGTCATGTTTCTCCAGTGTACAGAAACTATTTTTCATGTACCTAGAGAGCATAGGGAGAGAAGAAGGAAAACACACATTTCTAATTTCACTGTGAGTCAGTTCATTTCTATGTGGTGGAATGAGCACCCTGATGGGCCTGGGGGGAAGGGAAGAAAGTGGTTTTACCATCTCCATCCAACTGAGTCATGGACCCCATGAATGGAGTTTGGGGTACAGGGATGAAGTCATCACTCACCCCATTTCTTACTGTTTCATAGTTTTTCCTACCTCCTGTTTCCCCCTACCCTGTTGTGTATGACAGAAATGTGTTTCCTTTGCACTCCAGAGGGGCTTAATGGAAACCTCATACTATGTCTGCTGGACAGGACACCGGAGCAAGGATACTGGAGAGCTCTCTGCATCCTGGCACAAAATCCAAACCAGTAACTCTGGGACGTTCTTGACTCAGGGGTAAGTCACTTCTCCTGCTTGCCTCTCTTGGAGAGTGCATATTTCTGTTATGTAGGAGCTTCATTGCTGTGTGGTAGAGTGATGCTGAGGCACACAGAAGCAGGTAGAGATGGAGCACCTGGTGGGTGAGCCAACACCCAGGGCACGGGCTCCAGGACTTGTGCTGCTTGATCCACCCTTCTCATGGTCTGGGTCTTCCCATCTTTCGGTCCTCTCTCTGAGTAGCTTGGATTCCTATTACATCTCATACTGTCACAAAGAGCAGGGGACAAATGGGGTGGGGAAGGGAACAAATACAGAGAGAGGTAGAAGTGATCCCTGGAGGGCCTGCTGTTTTCTGTTCTCTTCCCTGTTCTTTCTTGTTTCACATGTTTCTTTATTTCACCCCACAGTTAATCTCAGAAACCTGGTAATCCATATGACCCCACAGCTATGCCTCATGGCCCAAAGGGTCAGATTTCATCTCCACAGTCGTCTTCCTCAACGTGAAGGGCTGTTGAGTGAGTACCCTTAGGGCACAATACTAGGGAAGTGTAAAATTATCATCTTCCAAATGGGAAGCTGCTGGTTCCATTGTTGGGGGTGGGGGGCAAGAGATGGAACCTCATTGCCATTCTGCCACTTATCTGGAAAGGGTCTTAGTCTCTGTGAGCCAGAGCTTGACCATCTGTGAGATGGGACTCACCATACTTTCTTCACACCACTCTCCTGATGGGTAAATGGAATAAACTATATATTTTTATACCACTATCTTAGTCTGTTTAGTATTGTTATAAAGGAATATCTGAGGCTGCATACCTTATAAAGAAAAAAACAAAACAAAACATAGTAAAATCGTTATGTGGCTAACAATTTTGATGGTTGGAAAGTTCAAGATTGGGCATCTGCTTCTGATGAGGGCCTCAGGAAGCCTCCACTCACAATGGAAGGCCAAGGGGAGCTGGCTTGTGCAGAGATCATATGGCGGGAGAGGGAAAAGAGATGAGAGGTGCTGGGCTCTTTTCAACAACCAGCTCTTGTGGGAACTAATAGAGCAAGCACTCACTCATCACAGCAAGGATTTACCTTTCATGAAGGATCTACCCCCATGACCCAAACACTTCCTGTTAGGCTCCACCTCCAACATTGGGGATCAAATTTCAACATGAGGTTTGGAGGAGACAAACATCCAAACCGCAGCAAACACTTACTGAATTTTTTTCTTCTAAAAATGTTGTTTCTGAGATGTCTCTAATAAGGTGACTTTGGGGCTGTTTTGATATTTTGGCCATGCTGCCATGACCATTCTTGCACACATGCCAGAGACTCTGCAGTGCAGACTTGAGAGGACAGCAGTTGATGGGGCCATGCTTGCTTCTCTCATACATGTTGCCGAGTGTATCTGCAAAGATACTCTGTACCGTTTTGTCCTCCTGCAGCAGTGTATAGGATTTTTATGACTCCACAATTTCAATTTAAACAGGACACAGCATAGATACAAACTCACTTATCAGGTTTTCTTATCAAATTCTAGAATTATTCCAGGACATATTCTGAGGCATAAAGTAGGACTGTTATGTTTGTGTTTAGAAATGCACATGTGAAATATGCCATTTATGTGGATATCGATGGAAAAAAATGAAAAGTATTTTAACATTATAGTGATAGGATATAAAAGTAGCAAATATTAATAAAGTTGGGAAATCCATTATTGCACAAATCTAGAGAAACAGGTGCTCTCATCTTGTAGTTGGTTGGGATATTCATTAGTAAAGAGATTTTAACTTTCAACTAGACAGTATATACTAAAAATAGTCATGCTCTTTGACAAAAAAAAAATCATTTGTGGAAACATATTCTCCAGATACAGCCTGCCAGGCTCATGTGTCCCTATTGCTGAGGGCTGAGCTGACCATTTCCCTAGCTGATTTGTTACCTTCAGCCCCAGTCCCATTCCCAACCCTGAGCGATCTATCCTTCCAACCAAACAGGAGAATCTGTCTCATGGCTGAATGCCCAGCCTTGATGAACCGTATACAGAGCTTCTCCAAATTGACATGGAGCAATGCTCAGGTCCCTACTCCCGTCGGGACCTGTAGACCTCTGACCTCATCCCTGTGTTGGAGAAATCTCTCTTCTTCTCCCTTCTCTGTGTCCTCAGGACCCTTCCCCTCCCTGCCAAGTACAAGCAGTCCAATCCTTTCCTTAAGTTTAAGTTTTCACACAGGATGAAGCAAACACTGGCTTCAGACAGCTTCTGCTTCCAGCCCTGCTATAAACCTTCCTTGAGACAGGGGGAAACAGGCCCAAGCCTTTTTTTTTTTTTCCTGGAAATGCAGGGAGGGTGATATGGTTTGGCTTTGTGTCCCCATCCAAGTCTCATCTTGAATTGTAATCCCCAGGTGTTGAGGGAGGAATGTGGTAGGAGGTGATTGGATCATGGGGGTGGTTCCCCCCATGGTGTTCTGATGATAGTGAGTGAGTTCTCACGTGATCTGATGGTTTTATAAGTGTTTGGCACTTTCCTCTTCACACACTCTCTTTTCTTGCCGCCTTGTGAAGAAGGTACTTGCTTCTCCTTAACATATCTCCATGATTGTAAGTTTCCTATGGCCCCCCGCACATCCGCCCAGCCATGTGTAACTGTGAGTTAATTAAACCTTTTTCCTTTAAATTACCTAGTCTTAGGGAAGTTCTTCACAGCAGTGTGAAAACGGACTAATACAGAGGGTAAACACAAGGAGAACAGATATTAAACTCCTTAACAATATATGTCCTGATGCTAAAGATCTGCCACCAGCAACTCAAGGTGCCTAGATTGGCACGTTCTGGCAGTGGACCTGCTGAGCAACCTCTTTTCCATCCAGCTCTGTGGTTAGGAGCATGTGCTTTGTAGTCACAGACATCTGTGAAGAAGAAAGGATACTAGTACCTCACTAGCAGGGCTGTCATGAGATCGAATCCAGACACTAACATAAAGAACCTGGAGCTGGGCCCCTCTAAACACTCTGCTCCATAAGTAGAAGTTATCTTTCCTCTTTGGAGCAGAAATTCATATGTGAATTTCACCTGCCCCTGCGACGGCATGGGCCCCTTAACCAGCATGCACATCAGAGTCGCCTTGATGAGCCTTTTCTAAACCCTCAGTTGAAACCCCCTTGTTGGTAGAAATAGGACTTCTGTACAAAGGCCATTCAAGTCATTCGGCTGTAATAATATGGGCCTCAGAAAATGGATACCTCGATGTGGCACCAATAGTGTATATGAAAGTCTGTTTCTCCTTTATTTCACCAACGTAGGTATTATCAGCTTTTGTCTTTTTAAAAAAAATCTGATCTGCTCATTGTCGCACGACCTGCCCTGACTTATTGGGAAGGTCATCTCAGATGGTCATTAAACTTACATATTCAGAGGCTCTTCTCCTAAGGTTTCCAGATTTAGCAAATAAAAATACAAAATGCCCAGTTGTATTCAAATAAAAATTGCATGTCACATTCACAAAAACAGAACCAATGCAATGTGTATACACACACACACACACACACACACACACACACACACGTATATGGTGAGAGAGAGAGAGACTAATTTTCAAGAATTGGCTCACATGACTATGGAGGATGAAAGTCCAAAATCTGCAGAGCCGGTTGGCAGACTGGAGACTAGAGAATATCCAATGTTGCAGTTCAAGTCTGAAGGCTATCTGCTAGTAGAATTTTTTCTTGCTTAGAAGAGGTAAGATTTTTGCTCTATTCAGGCCTCCATCTGATGGGATGAGGCCCACCCACATCATAGAGGGCAATCTGCTTTTCTCAAAGTCCACCAATTTAAATGTTGATCCCATCCAAAAACACCCTTGCAGGAACATGCAGAATAATGTTGAGATACTTGAACAATGTGGCCCAGCCAAGTTGACACATAAAGTCACCATCACATTTACACTAAAAAATTATTCATTGTTTATCTGGAATTCAAATTTGACTGAGTATATTCTGTTTTTTCTGACAGTCCTACTCATGGAGGACTCTGTGTTGAACCAAGGTGCTTCATGCAACAGCCCCAGCTGAGCTCCCAGCAGATGCCAGCACCATTCGCCATCCATGTGAGTGAGCTCTCTTGGATGTCCCAGGCAAGTGTAGCATGCTGATGACTATAGCCCCAGGTGACAGACACCACATAGAACAGAAAACACCCAGCAAAGCCCAGTCAATTCATAGACTCCTGAGAGATGATAAATAGCTATTGTTTGGGGACATTTTGTTAAGCACAAGTGGTTATCTAAAACCTTATGGTTTTGGTGACCTTTTCTTCATTTTCTGTGATCTGCTCTCAGATCACAGATCGTGAAGGCTCGGGGGGGCTTTGTTATAATTTTGACTATAGTCTGTGTGTTAGTTTATGTGTGGGTATATATTTCTGAACATACCATTAATTCCTTTTTGATGGGATTTTCAAGGGAGGTTTTCATAAAATATGCTTTTCTACCTATTCTTGCAATTTAGAACATAATTCCAATCTCTCTCTCTATAGGATAAGCCTCCGATGCAATCACTTGTGTTAAGAAATTGAGAGAATGTTGATATAAACTGTTCCCTGAGCCATATGGAAAGCTGTATCTTCTGCAGGTTGCTTGGTGAGTATACAAGGAGTACAAGGTGTATTTATTGACTTTGAGAAGTGTTTCTCTAAGAAGGTGTACTGAAAGATTTTCTCCTGCTACAGGGATAGCCCTTAAAAAGGAAGTCACTTTCCTTAGGTACACAGACAGGGCTCCTTCAGCAGACAGCAGATAGATATGGAATGCAGACCTTGTTTTCTGTGATGGTCCCAATGTATCACTGGATAAGTCTGTCCAATTCTGGGGTTTGTTCATAGGAAACCTATGTGCCAGCAAATCTATGTCACATTCTCCAGTATCTCCTTTATAAGGAATAAAGTCAATGTATTGTTCTTCTTATTCTTTTGTCATATTTCTCAGTTGGTGTACAACTCAGACTTGGAGCTGGAGGGCATTTTGGGGGCCCCTTAAAGATCCAAGCATTGCGAAGCAAGACTATAGGAATAGTTGGGGAGCAAGCGAGACACAGGAGAGTAGAGCTGTGGACCTATTGTAAGCCCCACCCCTGAGGGCAGAGCAGAACATATACTTGGTTAAGTGAAGGTTACAACCAAGAGTTTTAAAGGGAGAGGACCTGGGCTGTGCAACCTGTTTCTCCTTCCAAACTCACCAATTAGATGGGACATTCCTGTGATAGAGGAGTGAGTGTATCAAGAGGCCAGAAGTGTTTTGGGTATCGATGTCTCTCCACATAGAAGAAAATATTAAGAATGGTGGACAAGCAGTACCTAAGCTGGAGCGGGGTAGAGGCGGGCCAGCACCCACTTCTGACCTCCAGTGCCGCCAGCCTCAATATCAGACATGGCCCAGAACTTGAAGGACTTGGCAGGACGGCTGTCCGCCGGGCCCCGGGGCATGGGCACAGCACTGAAGCTGTTGCTGGGGACCAGCGCCATGGCCTACAGTGTCCGTGAATCCGTGTTCACTGTGGAAGGTGGGCACAGAGCCATCTTCTTCAATTGGATCAGTGGAGTGCAGCAGGACACTATCCTGGTCGAGGGCCTTCACTTCAGGATCCCCTGGTTCCAGTACCCCATTATCTATGACATTCAGGCCAGATCTCGAAAAATCTCCTTCCCTATAGGCTCCAAAGACCTACAGATGGTGAATATCTCCCTGCAAGTGCTGTCTCGACCCAATGCTCAGGAGCTTCCTAGCATGTACCAGCGCCTAGAGCTGAACTACGAGGAATGAGTGTTGCCGTCCATTGCCAACGAGATGCTCAAGAGTGTGGTGGCCAAGTTCAATGCCTCACAGCTGATCACCCAGCGGGCCCGGCTATCCCTGTTGATCCGCCGGGAGCTGACAGAGAGGGCCAAGGACTTCAGCCTTATCCTGGATGATGTGGCCATCACAGAGCTGAGCTGTAGCAGAGAGTACACAGCTGCTGTAGAAGCCAAACAAGTGGCCCAGCAGGAGGCCCATCAGGCCCAATTCTTGGTAGAAAAAGCGAAGCAGGAACAGCGGCAGAAAATTGTGCAGGCCGAGGGTGAGGCCGAGGCTGCCAAGATGCTTGGAGAAGCACTGAGCAAGAACCCTGGCTACATCAAACTTCGTAAGATCCGAGCAGCCCAGAACATCTCCAAGACAATCGCCACATCACAGAATCATATTTATCTCACGGCTGACAACCTCGTGCTGAACCTACAGGATGAAAGTTTCACCAGAGGAAGTGATAGCCTCATCAAGGGTAAGAAATGAGCCTTGTCACCAAGAACTCCACCCCCAGAGGAAGTGGATCTGCTTCTCCAGTTTTTGAGGAGCCAGCCAGGGGTCCAGCACAGCCCTACCCCACCCCAGTATCATGCGATGGTCCCCCACACCGGTCCCCTGAACCCCTCTTGGATTAAGGAAGACTGAAGACCAGCCCGTTTTCTGGGGAATTACTTTCCTCCTCCCTGTGTTAACTGGGGCTGTTGGGACAGTGTGTGATTTCTCAGTGATTCCCTACAGTGTTGTTCCCTCCCTCAAGGCTGGGAGGAGATAACCACCAACCCAGGAATTCTCAATAAATTTTTATTACTTAAAAAAAAAAAAAAAGAATGGTGGATAAGAATTCCCCAAAATGAGCCAATATATGTTTCAGTTGACTAGATTTCTGCCTACTAAATCATTACATTATTATACGCCTGCCACCTTGAAATAACTGAGATATCTTAAATGACATTTCTTGGTGTTCCTACATCATTTACACACATGATTATAGACAGTCTCTTAGTCTTCTGCCACAGATAGCTAACTGCTTAGCATGTTGTGTAAGTTTTACACATCATCCTCAGAGGGTTAGCTCATCACCAGGAGCCCTAGGATACCTCCCTGCGTCTCTGTGTAGTGATGGTACTCAACTACTGTCACTTTTAAAGCAGGCAATATTCCTGCCGATGGGGAGATGCTTTGTTTCACCAAGTTGAGCAGAATTCCACAAATCGCCCTTGTCTGAGGCTAGTTCCTCTAATTAGTAAGCTTTCTCAGGAGGTGGCCTGAAGAGTGGAAGAGTGAAGTTTTTTTTTTTGTTGTTTTTTGTTTTTTTTTGAGGAAGGCAAGGGGACAGAGGGCTGTGCAGAAGCATTTCTGATGTGGAGGACAAGCCTGAGCACCACGGTTGCCACAGAAACCAGAAGTCATTACTGTGACCTTGATGACTTTTTAATAGAAACCCCTGTGGGCTGGAGAGAATAGCAGGGTCCTGCCTTCAGGTGTTTGGAACTCAGTTGAGGGTGTGAGTGTCCCACAGTGGGAGCTGAAGTGCCTTGGGATGTGGGGAGATGAAGGAATCCCAGATCTAAGTCCCCTTACTCCCACTTTGAAACAAGTTGCTCTCACTGTTTTATGAGGGAGAGAGCTGGGACCCTTCTGGCCCCAGTGAGTGGGGTGTCCTGCTCCTGGTGTTCTGGAGCTACTTTCTATGTAAAGGTGGGACGTGGGAGGATGAGACAGGTAAGGACTCTCTGAGCCTAGCATCCCCTCTGTAAAATGGGGATAATTATGCTCACCCACAGGATTGCTGCAAGCTGCAGTGATAACACAGGTGCAAGCCCATAGCCCTGTGGTTACTGCACAATTAGGAATGCCTGTGTGAATTCAGGCCTCTTCTTAGTCCTTTACAGATTTGTTGTTAGGAGATAGATGAGGAAAGGAGAAGAAAAGGCCCTGGTGAGAAACCCATTGTATCTTCTGGTTGTAATGATCACTACCCAATTGTATCAGTGTCCCTGGTCACTGACCCAGTGCCTAGCATGGTTCCTGGCACACTGTTACTCTAAGAAAGCACAGGGATTGCTGGATTCTCTCTGTCCCTGTGCAGATCTTCATCAGGTTATTGAACTCATAACAGGTGTATGAAGGAGATGGGCTTTGAGGATCTGGGTCTTGATGGCTGCTGAAGCTTCTGCTTCAGATTTGAAGGGCAGCAGTCCTAAGGACACCCCCAAGACTTCCATCCCTGGTGGGATATGATGCCTGGCACAAGTGAGTTAATAGATCCTAACAAAAGCATGTTGTGGAATAGCTCTGTGAGGATTATAAAATAGTCTAAAAGTAGAGAAACTCCTTTGATCCCATCTTTGGAGAAGAGGTTTAGCAGGTGGAATTTCCTTCCATCAGCAGCTATGTGCTTTGTAGCTGCCCTTGAGGCCAATGTTAAAAATGCCTTTCGTTGTCACAAAGCAATGAATAATTCATTTGGGGAAGCAACTTGATGTTTAACATGTATTTGAAATAAATTTACATGTTTTCTGCCTGTATAAATAATCATCGGTGATTGCCATGTATCTCTCAGATGGGCGTTGAAATACACAGTAGGTCAGAAGGTCTTCCAAGCAACTGGAGATTGTAATATGCATTTTTCAGTGGTAACCACATTATTATCCATTCTATAATAAATTTTTTAAGAAGGCAGAAATGTACAAAGTATTAATTAAAACTGTCAAAATGTCAGATACAAAAGTTCCATATTTTGAAAAATAATAATTTCCATATAATTTGCTGTATTACAATGATACCCAGCCATGTCCCCTAAAATAACCAGCTAGGCCTAAATATTATTATCATTGTTTCCCAGGACATAAGATTTTCAGTTCTGTACTACTAGGACTCTCTATCCCTCCTATTGCCCTGCCCTCAGACAAACACAATACTTTGTCACTATAGATTAAGTTTTACATCCTAGACATTTATTTAAATGGAATCATAGAAATGATTTTCTGTTTGTGTTTGATTTTTGGTTTGGCTTCTTTCATTCACCAATTTATTTTTAGATGTATCCATTTTGTTGCACATATCATAGTTCATTCATTTTCCTGCTGAATAGTATTCCAGTATATGGCTATATCGTAATTTTTTGTCCATTCACCTGTTGTTGGATATTTGAATTATTTCCAATTTGGATCTCTTGTAAACAAAGCTGTTATGAATATTTGTGAATAAGTCTTTCCATGGAAATAGGCTTTCTTTCTCATTAATAAACACTTAGGAGTGCAATGGCTGGATCATATAGTAGATGTAAGATTAACATTGTAAGAAACTGCCTGTTTCCAAGTGTTTATACTATTTTTCATTGTAGTTTTCATTTACATTTCCCTTACAGTGAGTGATGTTGAACATCATTTCATGTGCTTACATGACATTTGTATGTCTTCTTTAGTGGGATGTCTATTCAAATCTTTTGCCTGTTTCTTTACTGGTGTGCCTGTTTTCTTCTTACTAAGATTTTCAACATATTCTGGATACAAGTCCCTTATTAGATATATAATTTTCAAATATTTTATCCCAGTCAGCAACTTACTTGTCATTTTTTTTCAACCATGTAGTTGGAAAGCTAAAGTTTTTAACTTTGAGAAAGTCCAATTTTTCAATTTCTTTGCTTATAGATTGTAGTTTTGGTGTCTCATCTATGAAATCTTCACCTGACCCATTGTCACAAAGATTTTCTCCTGCTTTTTTTTTTTTTTTTTTTTTTTTTCCTGCTAGAAGTTTTATAGCTTCAAGTTTTATATCTAGATCTCAGGTCCATTTTGAATACACTTTTGTATACAGTGTGATATCTGGGTCACAGTTTATATTTGTACATGTCAATATTCACTTGTCCCAGCACCATTTGTTGAAACGACGATCCTTTCTCCACTGAATCACCATTGCATCTTTGTCAAAACTCAGTTGTCCATATACTTGTGGGTCTATATCTGGACTCTTTATTCTGTTCCTTTTACCTACTAATCCATCTTGATGCCAATAACACACTGTCTGGATTACTAAGGAGTGTTGAAATCACGTAGTGTTTGTCTTCTAATTTTGTTCTTTATCACAGTTGTACTTCATAGTTGATACGGTTTGGAACTGTGTCCCCACCCAAATTTCATGTCACATTGTAATCCCCAATGTTGGCTATGAGGCCTGGTGGGAGGCGATTGGGTCGTGGGGGTGGATTTCCCCCTTTGGTGGTGTTCTCATAATAGAATTCTCATAAGATCTGGTTGTTTAAAAGTGTGTAGCACCTTCCCTGCCATGTAAAACATCTGCTCCTGCTTTACCTTTCGCCATGAGTTAAGCTCCCTGAGACCTCTCCAGAAGCAAATGCCACTATGGTTCCTATACAGCCTGCAGAACTATGAGCCACGAAAACCCCTTTTTAAAAAAATAAATGACCCAGTTTCATGTGTTTGTTTTTAGCAATATGGGAACAGACTAATACAGTAGTCTAGGTCTTTTACGTGTCCATATGAATGTTAGAATCAGCCTGTCGGTTTCTTTAAAATATTTTTTTATAGTATTTCTACTTGAATTGCTCTGAATCTATAGATCAGTTTTGGAAGAATTGACATCTTAACAATACTGAATCTTCTCAGTATTGTTTGTGACCCATGAACATGGTATGTCCTCCACTTATTTAGGTCTTCTTTAATTCTCTCAGCAATGATGTGTGGTGTTCAGTGTACAGGCACTGCACATCTGTGGACAGATTATTCATAAATATTTCATACTTTTGATGATGCCATACATGGATTTATTTGTTAAACACAATTGCTAATTACTATATTTTCACAGTACTATCAGCAACCAAGTGTTTAACATCAGTGAGGGATTTTTTTGGTTGAAAGTACAGCTTACTCTGGGATGGAAAATGTATTTGATCCTTAATCTGTGTTTACCTGTATTTCCGTATCTGCTTTTACAAGTCATTGGCGATATATTGAAACTATGGAAGAAAATGTTCCAGAGATAATTCTACAGGTCATCTTCAGAAATCACACCAAAAGAACATAGTTTAGTAGCTTTCAACTTTATATGTGTGGTCAGAAATGATTTTGTTGCAATGTGTGGCTCAGGCTGGAGTGCAGTGGTGCAATCATAGCTCAGTGCAGCCTTGAACTCCCAGGCTCAAGCAATTCTCCCACCTCAGCCTCCTGAGTAACTCACTACAGGTGTGTGCCACCATGCTCAGCTAAACTTAAAAACATTTTTCAGAGGCAACATTTTGCTATGTTGTTCAGACTTCTCTCACACTCCTGACCTCAAGCAATCCTCTTACCTCAGCCATCTGAGTAGCTGGGATTATAGGCACAAGCCACCATGCCTGGCTAGATTTACTTCTTTACCCACCAGTAAATCAACCTCAATAAATTCCTGGGATTTGGAGTGGTGAGAGGGTGAGCAAGCATGTATGTATGTGAGTATGTATACATTTGTATGTCACTGAAGCTGTCAGGAATTTTTATTGTAAGGACTACTTGAGGTTAATTACTGTGCATCATGTCAATCCTATTTAGTTCCTGGTACATATTAGGAACAAGCTCGGGGTAGTGGTGTTTGTTTTTTCTCAGCTTTCCTTGACCAGAATGGTTACCATGGTGACTCAGTGACTGCTGTGTGATTTGGTGCAGACTGAGCATCCATTTAGGATTCTTGCCCAAATCTCTCATACCACATTGCCTGTCCATCAGATATAGTATTTGCTTTTCATCTTATATGTAGTTAATCGCTTTTCATCTTATGTGTAGTTAATCACTTTTCAAGGGCTCAGAAGCAAGTTGCTTCACTTATCTGAGGTTAAGCTACAGATAACATAAAAAAACACTAAGTACCTTGAAATAAAAGGAAATGAGTTGTTGATATTCCTCTCCTGCCCCAATCTCTATTGGGAGGTTAGAAGAGAAATTCTTGGAATCATACAGCATGTGCTCTTTTATGTCTCACTTCTTTCAGTCAACATAATGTATGTGAAATTAATATTTATTGTGGTCTGTATTATAGATTGCTTATTCTCATTGGTGTAAAGTATTATATTATTTGGATATTTCACACTATATTTATCTGTTATGGAGATTTGTGCATTTTCCAGTTTCTGACATGAATAATGGTGTTATGAATGTTCATGTTCATTCTTTTGGATGGACATATATTTTCTTTTTTAAAAAATCTTATTATCAATAATAATTGAACCATTTAATATCTGTCATCTTAAAATTATTATTCATAACACTTTTCACCTTGTAGCTATAGACAAATACATTCCCATTTTAACAGGTTAATGACATTATCTTTATAATATTATAGAAGCATGTGTTTGGAGAATACCAGAAGGAACATCCTGAAAACCAAGAACTCAAAATGCCTTTTTATCCCAAAGACATGTTTTAAAAATATATACCCATTCATCCATTTGTTTTCACAACTGAAGCTACAGAGAACTTTAAATATAATGATGTTCATCAGAGGCTTGTTCCTAACATATTTAAAATTTAGGTCAACCAAACTTCTCTGTGGAAACTGAGTTGAAATCCAAAATCTTACAATCCTAATTTCAAGCCACATTCATTTTAACTTAATTTTAACATGTTTTGCAAAATGTTCCAATATAAACTTAATAGTTCCTATACCATCAAACATGGATCCTGATGATTTTATTTTCTAGATTGGCTGATAGGCTGAATAATCTTCTGTAGGGTAAGAAGTGTCAACTGCATCAACCACATGGAGGTGGACTGGCTACAGAAGAAAGGTTTTCCAAATCAAATTCCAAGTATTTTTTTCTTTTTATATTACCAGTAGGAGAAATACCTAATGTAGATGACAGGTTAATGGGTGCAGCAAACCACCATGGCACGTGTATACCTATGTAACAAACCTGTACATTCTGCACATGTATCCCAGAACTTAAAAGTATAATAAAAAATTGTAAAAAAATTGGTGTTAGATTCAGAGGCTTGATTCAATTTAGATTTGTTTTGGTCAGAAGTACTTCATATGTGGTGGTGTTTATTCCTATAGTGTTACACAAGGGGCTCATTGTGTCTAAGTGTCTCTCCTCTTGTGATGTTAAGATTAATTACTTTAATTACTATGTTCAAGTATCGTTAAGCTGATCCATCCATTATAAAATTTCCCATCCCTTTTTCACCTCGATTTTTCTGCAGCCTCTAAGGATTGTTGCTTGGTTCTGTATCATTAAACGTCATAAAAGGATGATATTCTAATTCTATAATTTTTTCTACTTTATTAGCTGGAATTATTCTATTAACTAAACTTCCTTTCATAAACCATTAGGTTACACTGAGGGGTAGTATGTATAGAAAGTGTTGGATGAGTGCCTAATTCTTTTGCAATATTTCCACTTTTCAAAACAATGAGTTGTTTCCCTAGGGTTCTCCAAAGGCAAGCAATGAGTTGATATTGTTTGTTTTATTTTATTTTTCTTTTAGAGTGTCATCATGAGCTGTAGAAGTTTTTATATTTAACGTGTTTTAATCTATAGTAGTCATTATTTTATTTAATGTTCAAATTGCTTCATCTTTGTCCAGCGAGAGCCCCTTAAGCTTGGCTTCTGAGCCTTTTTGACATACTCTGGTATGATAGTTTGGTCCAGATTCATCTAGTAGAATGGCTACACAGACCTAGACTCAGCCATTTGTCTAAGATAACCTAGTTCCTTTCAGTGTGATGTGTTTTAAGTGGATTCAATACGGGTACTAGAGTTGCTTATTGCTACTGGGTCTATCATGTTTCTCACCTTTCCAGTGCATGGAGCCAGTGTATATATATTATATTTTTAAGAGAAAAGACATTATTGGCTTCCATCCTGGGCCGTTTTTCCTTCTCTTTATAGGTAATGATTTTTTAAATCAATTTTCATTAAAATTTTCCAATTTTTAAAATATAAGCAAATAGAATGTTTCTATTAGTTTTCTCCTATTTCATACATATAAGGTGGCATATTCTACACTGGTGGAGTCCAATAGAATTTCACAAAGGTGAAAATATTCTATGTCTAAACTGTCCAACATAGTAGCCACTAGATACCTGTGACTATTAAACACCTAAAATGTGGTAAGTGTGACTGTGGAAGTGAATTTAAAATTCCATTTAAATTTAGTTAACTTAAATAGCCATGAGTGGCCAGTGGCTATGGTATGGGACAACAGCAGCTCTACACATTTTTCTGCACTTTGCTTTATTCACTTAATGGTATATCCTGGAAATAACTACATAGCAGTAGAGAGAGGGAATCTTCCTTGCTTGTTTATACTGGCATCGAAATCTAGGATGTAGATGCACCTTAGATTATTCAATCAATCTTTTATTGGTGGACGTCTGTCTTATTTCTAGTCTTCTGCTGTTACAGTTTGTTCTGCCAAGAATGACCTTGTGCTTCTGCCTTTTTGTCTTTTCGAATTGTATCTTTGGGGTACATTCTCCAAAGAAAGATTGTTGGTTCCAAGAGAAAATAATTGTGCCCTATGAAATAGAAGATTTGAAACAGAGAGCATTTAGAAATATAGTAGCAATAAATGAATGCTGGTTTTATCTTATCATTCCTTTGATTCCATGTACTTTCTGCTCTCTTATTTTCTTTCTAGTGTGACGTGGGTGAAGGAGTTCTTATTGAGCCATGGGAGGAAGAAATAGTACAGAAGAGCAAAGAATAATAATGAGTCAGCTAGACAGAAGACAGGAGTCATCAGATTTGTACCCCAGTTACTTGACCCATCAATTGACTGTGTTTTCTGGGGTGAGTCTCTTCCCTCTGCTGGCCTCTGTTCTAACACAGAAGGACATTCAGTATAGAAACAGTGATTAGTGAGAAGGACTGGGATTTGACCCTGGGAACCATTACTTGCTGGTTGCATGATCTATATCAACCAATTCATCTACTGTGTGCCCTGTAACCATTTATGTCTTTTATTATTATTCCTGTCACACATACAAAGACTGAATGAAAAAGTGGGGATTACTTTGCCAGGTAGTACAATGTTCTCTGAGCATATAATTTCATAAGTTTTGGACAGAGTGGTTGACATGCAGGTTAAAGAAGTTTAAAGAAAGCTCTGGAGTAGACCCAGGCATATAACATCATTTAAGATGCTACAAGTATGGCATTTCTAATCAAATGCATTGTTAAGGAATTGGGTCTGGGCCAGCTGTAAAGTGTTCATTAAAAAGCAAAGTTAGATTATATCTTATACCTTGTCATGTACGCAGAATGTTTCATCCACATGTTAGTACTTAAGATAAAAGCAAAACTGAAAATAACAACAAAAAACTCAGGATACTGTACTGTAATGTAATTATAATAGCTTTATGATTGCATTTGTAATGCATGTACAGTACATGTGCATATATCCATGTATAAAAAAATCATTAGAAAGATCTAGTACCATGTTAATTTTAATTATGATGGGATTGCTGGCTCTTGATATTTTTAACCTCTGCATTTGGCTCAATATTAAACATTTGCTAAGGTGAGAGTATGGATTGTACATATTCCATACCCCATGCTTGACTTACTATGGGAGTTACATCCTGATAAACTCATTGTAAGTTGAAAAATAATTGTAGGTCAAAAATGGGCATTTGTAGACAAGATGGGATGTGAAAACACAAAACAATATTAAAAAATGCTGGCAACACTGTACACTGTAGAGTCTCAGTTGTTTATCCTCATGATTGCATGGCTGACTGGGAGCTGTAGCTCACTGCTGCTCCCTAACCAGCATCACAAGAGAGTATAATACTGCATTTTTCTAGCCCAGGAAAAGATCAAAATTTAAAACTTGAAGTATAGTTTCTATTGAATGTGTACCACTTTCACACTATCATAAAATTGAAAAATTATAAGTCAAAACATCAACAGGGAATATCTGTATTTATGATAAAAACTATATCCCCTAAAACATCTGCTACTTGTGAAATGTTTCAAATAGAAAACAGAGAGAACTATGAAATCAGTCCAGCTTAGGAAAAACTTTACTCCTCCCTAATTGTATCTCCTTCCTTCTCTGCTATCGATAATCAGCATCCAGAAAGCAATGATTATAATTCCCAAATGTGACTTTATCCTTTTATTCCATATGAAAGCTTCCCTAAACAAAACATAGTATTGTTTTGCATGTTTCACCACAAACACACATATACCTGATCCTTACACTCAAGATAGCATTATGATGTGTTCAAGGGGAGATCTTTGTCAAGATGCTGGCACGGTATTTGGTGTGTCATGGACAGTGCCAGTGTTTGCTTCCTTCCCATCTCAACTCTTCTGATCTTTAACAGGGATGTTGTTTCATAATCTGGATAGCATCACTATATTTTAGTGAGTACTTGGGAATGTGAGGGAACCACACACACTCATCTATATTATGTAGGAAGTTAGATGCCATCTCTGTGCTATGCAATGTGATGAAGTTGGGATGAGGGAAGAATACTCACTCTTTTCTATTGTATGATGCTATGGTAGTGAGTTACACTTAGTGAACCTTACCTTGCTCATCAATAAAACTAGCATATTGATATTTACCTCACAGGAGTGTTATAAGGAGAAATGAGCAAAACTAAAGAAACCATCTGATACATAATACTTCAATAAATATATATTTGGTCTCCCCTTGGTTTTCCCTTCCTCAAAAGACTTAAACATGAACCTCCTACAGAGACCATTTAAATTTGAAACATTGGGAAAGGAAACATACATACTTATATGTTATAGAACACCTTTGGTGACATTTTTTTGTGGATGAGATACCTGAGAATGGTGGAAGTTTGGGATCAAATAATCACTTTGTTACTTTTTATTTGATGTGTTCTTCTCTTCCTTTTTATCTTCCATTGTGACACTGGAATAGGAACCTTTGTTTGAACCCCAGAAAGGAGACAGTACAGAATAAAAAAGCATAAAGATGAGTATTCTGTACAACAGACTGAAATCAGGAGACCTGGGGACTGAATGCCAGATTTGACCTTGTCTAGAAGATACTTTCCCTGAGCTGAACACAGCACTTATTGAGAAAAAGATTGTATATCCCAATGGTTAGGGATGGTGACTTGAGAGTCAGAGCTTAGTTTGAACTTGGAATCATTTAATAACTCAATTCATGCTGTCTGGCAAATCTTGAATGTCTCAATATATTAGACTCACATGCAATGAATGTACATTATGATGCATGCATACAGAGAATAATGGGGTAATATACACATGCAATGAATGTACATTATGATGCATGCATACAGAGAATAATGGGGGTAATATACAAACACAATACCTTTTTTTAAGTTAATGAGTAGTAGGATTACTTGATTAATTATATATTTATTTCTGGACATAACTATATTTTTCACAACCTCTTAATTGATACAAATCATTTTTATAATCAGAACTAGTCATAGAAACATTTATGGTTCTGAAATATTTTAGACATAAAGAAACTTACAAAAAGAATATACTGTATATACTCACATTAAGAAATAAACCAAAAAGACCCCGCATTGCCAAGACAATCCTAAGCCAAAAGAACAAAGCTGGAGGCATCACGCTACCTGACTTCAAACTATACTACAAGGCTGCAGTAACCAAAACAGCATGGTACTGGTACCAAAACAGAGATGTAGACCAATGGAACAGAACAGAGCCCTCAGAAATAATACCATACATCTACAGCCATCCTATCTTTGACAAACCTGACAAAAACAAGAAATGGGGAAAGGATTTCCTATTTAATACGTGGTGCTGGGAAAATTGGCTAGCCATAAGTAGAAAGCTGAAACTGGATCCTTTCCTTACTCCTTATACGAAAATTAATGCAAGATGGATTAGAGACTTAAATGTTAGACCTAAAACCATAAAAACCCTAGAAGAAAACCTAGGTAATACCATTCAGGACATAGGCATGGGCAAGGACTTCATGTCTAAAACACCAAAAGCAATGGCAATAAAAGCCAAAATTGACAACTGGGATCTAATTGAACTAAAGAGCTTCTGCACAGCAAAAGAAACTACCATCAGAGTGAACAGGCAACCTACAGAATGGGAGAAAGTTTTTACAATCTACTCATCTGACAAAGGGCTAATATCCAGAACCTATAAAGAACTCAATCAAATTTACGAGAAAAAAACAAACAACCCCATCAAAATGTGGGCAAAGGATATGAATAGACACTTTTCAAAAGAAGACATTTGTGCAGCCAACAGACACATGAAAAAATGCTCATCATCACTCACCATCAGAGAAATGCAAATCAAAACCACAATGAGATACCATCTCACACCAGTTAGAATGGCAATCATTAAAAAATCAGGAAACAACAGGTGCTGGAGAGGATGTGGAGAAATAGGAACACTTTTACACTGTTGATGGGACTGTAAACTAGTTCAACCATTGTGGAAAAGAGTGTGGCAATTCCTCAAGGATCTAGAACTAGAAATACCATTTGAGCCAGCCATCCCATTACTGGGGATATACCCAAAGGATTATAAGTCATGCTGCTATAAAGACACATGCACACGTATGTTTATTGCGGCACTATTCACAATAGCAAAGACTTGGAATCCACCCAGATGTCCATCAGTGACAGACTGGATTAAGAAAATGTGGCACATATACACCATAGAATACTATGGAGCCATAAGAAAGGATGAGTTCGTGTCCTTTGTAGGGACATGGATGCAGCTGGAAACCATCGTTCTCAGCAAACTATCACAAGAACAGAAAACCAAATACCTCATGTTCTCACTCATAGATGGGAATTGAACAATGAGATCACTTGGACACAGGAAGGGGAGCATCACACACTGGGTCCTATTGTGGGGAGGGGGTAGGGGGGAGGGATAGCATTAAGAGATATACCTAATGTAAATGATGAGTCAATGGGTGCAGCACACCAACATGGCACATGTATATATATGTAACAAACCTGCATGTTGTTCACATGTACCCTAGAACTTAAAGTATAATAATAGAAAAAAAAAGTTTTCAGTTCCAGTCTCTAAGACCAATGTATGGCATTTGAATAGGACATACAGATTTTTTTTTCATTCTTTTAAAGAGAATTAAAGAGAAAACAAGAAGATTGAGAAAAAAAAAAAAAAGAAATAAACCATTATATGTACAATCGAAATTCACTCAAAGTCTGGGCTGGGTGCAGTGGCTCACACCTGTAATCCTTGTACTCTGGGAGGTTGAGACGGGCGGATTGCTTGAGACCAGGAGTTTGAGACCAGCCTGGGCAACATGGTGAAACCACATCTCTATAAAAAAATACAAAAATTAGTTGAGCATGGTGGCGCAGGACTGTAGTCCCAGTTACTTGGGAGGCTGAGATGGGAGGATCACCTGAGCCAGGGAGGTCAAGGCTGTGCTGAGCCATAATTGTACCACTACACTCCAGCCTGGGTGACAGAGTAAGACCCTGTCTTTAAAAAAAAAGAAAAGAAAGAAAATCAAAGTTTCTTCTGCTTGCATTAGCCTCCTTCTTACAAAGGAGTAATCAGTAACAAGCATTTAGACTTTTCATTATTTATTCTTCGTTACATATGTATATATTTCTGCACGAAATATAGTGTGATTTTGTGTTTTATCTGTAGTTGTCTGGCTATCTGACGGAAAGGAGAAAGGAAGAAACATGAGAAGAACAAATACCCATTCATATCTCAACACTGTGACCTGCCATATATGCCTCTTTACATGTGTACTGTCTTTCAGAGCTACTAAACCAGACACACCCACTTTTCCAGTTTACCTGCTATAGAGAGCACTAACAGAATTGGTACATATCACTTTTCAGTGATTTAAAAAAATGTGATGTGTTTAAAGTCTTAAGAGTTTCCCAGGTGACAGCCAGCCCAAAACAATGTTACAGTGTATCTTTGTGGGTTTTTTTTTTGTTTTGTTTTTTTGTTTTTTTTCCTTGAGACAGGATCTCTTCAGCCTCCTTATGTTGTTCAGGCTGGAGTGCAGTGGTTATTAACAGGCACAATCACAGCACACTACAACCTAGAACTCCTGGGCTCAATTGTTCCTCTCACTTCAGCCTCCCAAGTAGCTGGGATTTGCAGTGTATCTTGAATGTGAAATATCTTCCCATTGTCCAGGCATAATTTCCCACTTTTATTCACGTGATTACACATCTATGTCTGTAAATCTGGAACTAATCTGGGCAATCTTGGTGAAAAAAAGTCAGTGATTTCCAAGAGTTGGTTTTTATGTGTCCAATCTACTATCCAAATCCCTTGGTTAGTTTAGGTATGCATCCCATTTAGAACTTGATATGATTTGGTATTACATGTGATTGGCATGTGTATATTTTCCTTTCTGCTTAATATTTTTAATTGTATGAGCAAGGTACTTCATACGTGTGTTGATTACTCCTGGGGCCCAGGGCCGAGTGAGACTGTGACTCTACTTTTACCCTGAATCCTGCTGTGTTAGGATTCTCTCCTCTGGAAGCTGTGGTGCTGAGCCCTAGTGGTTTCATGCAGTCCCTCCCCTTTCCCTCCCCTGTGGCAGTCACTGCTTGGCCAACTAGGTGGGTAAAAAGAGGAGTCTGCTGTCAATTCAAGGGACTTTATTTGTGCTACTGCAGAAAGAAGCATGTTATGAAACCACTTTCATCTCATGACCTTCCCTAAAATCTTGAAAAGTAGAAATGTCATCTGGCTGTTGAATGTAAGGTTCATCTGAGAGACGTGCTTGCCCTTCCCCCGGGTGTCTATAATTTCTCTAAACCTGCCCAACTGAGGATGTCATGTAGATAGATTCATACTTTAATTCTAGGACCACCCTAGTACCTAATTGTCTTGGCTTAGACATGTTATCATTCCTAACGTTGAGCAACTTTCCTATGAAAAGGGCAGGGGTATTTTGTTTTTATTGTTTTTCTCGCTTCCAAAACCAAGACACCTTTCTTATAGATAAAAATGGAAAATACCTGAAAGGAATACAATCTTTAAAAAACCTTAAAATTTTATTATGCATGGATAAGCACTGTCAACATTTGAATGTTTTTTCAGAAATTATATTATGCAAATGTAACTATATATTTAAGAATAGAAATAAAATAGTATCCTACTTTTAGCTTTGTAAACTGCTTTTTAATGACATATATTGTGAAGGTCAACCCACACTAACAAAATCCACATTATAATAAAAAATGGCAGTAGAAACAGTACTAGTCAATCCGGGTATGAAATAATGATAGAAATGGTTAGTATTTATTGTGATTTTTCTCAGTTCCTGACACTGCTGTAATTCTAAACCCATACTTCATTTAATCCTCACCACCATTTATAAAGAGGAGCAGTTGTTTCCAACTTTAAACATCAGAGAACTGGGGTACAACAAGGGCAGGGCTAGCAAGTTGTGAGGCTGAGATTTGAACACAGGCTCTGTGGTTCCTGAGTAAATTTATCTAACCAGCATGTGCTACTCCTGCTTATTAGATCTCCAGCCTTACTGTTGATCAGGGCACAGCAAAACAAAACAAAACAAAACAAAAAAACAAACAAACAAACAAAAGAAAAACTAACCAAAACTAAGGCTTTGTATTAGTTTCCTATGACTGCTGTACATAGTACCAAACACTTGTGGCTTAAAACAACAGAAATTTAGTCTCTCACAGTTCTGGATGCAACACTTTTGAAACACCCAAGAATGTCAATAACCTTCTGTCTACAAAACATGGAACTCAAGGAATATCAGTCTGAAGTCCAGGTGTCGATGGGGCCTTGCTCCTTTTGAGTCTATGAGAAGAATCTTTCCTTTCCTGTTCCTAGTATCTGGTGATGGCCATAGATCCTTGATATTGCTTGCTTGCAGGGACATCACTCCAGTCTCTTCCTCTGTCACCACATGTTGCTCTCCCTGTGTGTCTCTGTCTTTAGTGGCATTTTCATTATCTTATATGACCACAAGTCATATTGGATTAGAGTTCACCCTAATAGTCTTATCTTAACTTGATTACATCTGCAAAGACTCTTTTTTTATATTATTACTATACTTTAAGTTCTTGGGTACATGTACAGAACATGCAGATTTGTTACATATACACGTGCCATGGTGGTTTGCTGCACCCATCAACCCATCATCTACATTAGGTATTTCTCCCAATGATATCCCTCCCCTAGCCCCCCCCCCGCCCCCGATAGGCCCTGGTGTGTGATGTTCCCCTCCCTGTGTCCATGTGTTCTCATTGTTCAGCTCCCACTTAT